ACTACCATTAGATGCGTTTTGACAAGCTTTACAAAAGTCTCTTAAGCAAGAAAGGTGATTAACTTAGTATGAAAAAACGTTTACCTTGGGCGATCACCATATTTGCACTATAGTAAATTTATATAGTAATCTGAGTCACATTTTACTATAATCATTCTTCAGATGACTGGTGGATCATCAATTAAATATAGTTAACACGTGTTTAAATAATGATGACGTGCAGTCAAATTAACATCTAGTGACACGCTCCTGGGGATTACCTATTTATTTCCTGGGAAAAAATTATAGTAGAGGTTGCCAACGATCATATCAAATGGATGGCTTTTTGGGCTATCCATGTCAGTAACCTTTGCTATAATTTCTACCCCCCAGAAAATAAATAATACAAATTTCTTGTTGTAGTTGAACTTAATTGTTGAGTTTTCTCAATTCTAACCTTTTCAGCAGCAGCTAAGCATAACTAGTCTAGTTTCAGATTTATTCACAATAAGAATTGAGCATATTTAAGTAATGATTAAGTAAAAAAACTTGTATAATATCTGCTTATCAAAATTTAAGAATTCAAAAGGATATTAGTGATAATAAATAGTTTGAGAAGGAATAAGATAAATTTGCAACAGTTTATAAGTATTTAAAACAATTGAAATTTTTTTTATTGAATGTTATACATATATATAGTAATAAATTTGTTATACTATTTGTATATAGCAACTTTGATGCAATTTAAATATGTAACACTTTTTTACTTATGCATTTTAACTAAAATGAATCAATCATATTATTGATCATATTAAGTAATTTACTGATTCAATTATTTGGATACATTAATTTTTTTTTACCTTTATTTCAAATATAATCAAAATGAAGATATATAATTTATTAATAAAAAAGTAAAATATTATAGTTAAACTAATCAAATGCAGTAATTTTTAACATAGATTGAAATGAAGATATATAATTTATTAATAAAAAGTAAAATATTACTGTTAAACTAACTAATCAAATGTAGTAATTCTAGCTGCAGCCATTAGCACTATAATTACTAATGATTTAAAACATCTAATTAAATCAAGTTAAAAATCAACAAATTATTAAAAATCGATTTTTTACCATTTCTAATCCTAGCATACCCTAAAAAAAAGTTACATAACTGAGCTTAAATTTTCTCCGAACAATTTCATTTCATTGTATATTACTGTATTAGCAATTTATATTAAAAATTTACTTTACTACAATTAAAATATAAATTTCAAATAAAAAAGAAATTTTATTCAAAAAAAAAATTTCAACTTTTTTATATTATTGGCAACCTGTGCAATATTTCAATATTTCACTTGACATTGTGTAGTAACCAAAATAGCATTAGAATAGAACCAAAAAAAAATCATTTTCATTAAAATTGATTATTGATAAGAAAATTATTGTCATCATTGTAACTGTATTTTAAATTAAAGCTCAATTATGTAACTTTTTTTTAGGAGAATACTAGGTTCATCTTATTATTTCCTTGTGTTGTGACCTAAAGCTCGACTCTCAAGAACTTCCATTTGTAAATATTCCTTTGAAAATTTTATTATTATGGGGAGATGATTTGTCAAAGAAATGATTGTGTTAGGGAAATGATTTGTTGGGGAAATAAATATCAGGAAATGATTGTGTTGGGGAAATGATTTGTCGAGGAAGTGATTGTTGGGGAAACTAATGTCAGAAAAATGATAGAGATCCCAAATTTTAACCTTCAATTAGTGATGAATTCTAATTAAGCCTAGTTTCGAAAAATACAGACACTTAATACTTACGTTATGGCCTCGCTTCGCCTGACAGGATTTAAATTTTACAATGTTTAAATTACAGCTCAAGATTTAATCAAGATCATAGTTACATAGATACGATTTAAACTTAGACAACTATTACAATCAGACCCTCCTAAATGCACCCTCTCTAAATGCAGCACCCTCTAAATGCATGATATAAGCCCGGGCCCATGGTGGAACTTATAGATAAATGCACATTCTTTATTCTGTAAGTGCATGCTAATTGTCTAGCCCACTTATGAAAACTCCCTCCGTAAGTGCATTTACGTGATTATCAGCCAATCAAATTCATTATCTCTAGGCTACTGAAGACATATTTATCACATTATAATAGCGCATTGTGATTTTAATAGTGTTCTCTAATTGCAACCCTCCTAAATGAACGCTCTAGAGCTGGTCCCGACAACGTGCATTTATGGAGGTCTGACTGTATATTTTTTTTAATGCGATTTTTTCACTGTGTCGTTCAAATGGTCTTTAATTATATAATTGTTAAGTTTGTAACATAAAAATAAGAATATCATGATAAAACATGAATAAAAAATTATTATACTTGATATACCACTAACTGTATACAAACTATTGAATAGCATGCTTATATTTTCAAATTGTGCAAAACTATCATGTTAATAGTTAGGCTGGTCAGTCATTGTGCATACGTATATGATATCCATCTATTATTGTAACCATGAATATTCACGGCAAATATTCATGAATATAAACGAATCAATTATATCAATTACAAACCCTTGACTAACCATGAATTTTGTGTAACCGAACATTGGATATTCAATGAATATCTATTCCGAATATTCATGGATCCGACCTCTAAAATTAACAAATCATCAAACTTTTAAGGCGGACAGACAAAATTTTATTATTCAAATGGACCCCCTGCACGCATTTGGCAAAGATATTATTGTGATCTGAATAAATTGTCATTGAGATAAAGTTCTCTAATGATATCTATTCTTTATACGTATGTATTTGTTGTATTACAGTATTACCGACACAAATAAATAACCCGATCACTATTTATTTGGAAATGTAGGTAATTCTAGAATTCAATTACTTTATATAGAAGTATAGAAGCTAATCTCTATCATTGGAATGTTATTTTTGTCGAGGATAAATAAACATAATATTAACAAAATATATGTAGTATTCAAAAACCTTAATTTTTTTTAAGATAAAGAAAAAAATCAAAAAATTATATAAATATCGATCAATTAGAAACATCGATCAGCTAGCAAATTTACCGTGACAAAGTGTTACGTTTACTAAAGTTTTGTGGCGGTTATGAAGGTTCAATCGTTTTTTGATTGTATTAACATTCGTAACCGTTGTTATGATGTAGATTAGTAGGTGATAATCACGAGTTGTAATTTGTTAATATGAAAACGCATTCATTCAAGATCTGTTAATATGATTATCCATAATCATGTAGTTAAGGATGCTCTTTAGGCCTTAATAAAGAGGGAGGACAACGAGATGTCTCGAAACTCTTCATTAATAACATCCACATGCTTTTGTATATATTTTTCACCGGTAACCATCAGGGCTAAATTGTGCATACTCTCATGGTAACACCGTGTCACTAATCGCGCCTTGATAATTAATAAGGATATTAAAATAACTGATAGATAGTTGTAAAATTTAGAATTTGTAGCCATACACCAAAACAAACAATACTGTAACTTACAATTATTATATCCATATAGAGCATTTTTGTCGGATATTAAAAGACTGCGAAATTTAAAATATAATAATGCGGAATTTTTTTTTCGTTTTTGAAATAAACAAAAATCAAAAATGATTACTGATTTATTCATAATAAAACATAACGAACCAAAGTCGATTATAATTCTTCGACGTTGTGTTATCATAATATTTGTAGGGTTATTAATTGCTGTATTTATAGTATTATGTATTGGAGTTCATGACGAATTGCCGAGCGTTAATGTAACTTATAAAGTAGTTGATAGTCTGCCCATACCGGGTATGGATTGTTCATTTAAGTTAAAAACAGTGATTACATTAAATGAAATGGTAATCAAATGATGTATAATAAAAATTTTTAAACCAATGTAGACATATTTTTCTCTTACAATTATAATTTTACGATTAACTGTGCTATTTCCAATTTCACAGGTAAATATTCTATACATTTATGCTAATTATTTTTCACTTCATTCATATAGCATACTGACTCGAATTATTCATTATAGGGAATTATAATTGTAACAATTATATTAATAAAACTATATATGATACTTCCCAATCTAAATATTCTACTGCCCTTTCAGCAAATTACTATGTAACTTCTAATACTAGATGCACCCTTTCGATAAATATTACGGATCCTAGATATAATATTTCCAATCAAAATGATTACATGGAGATGTATGCATACGATAAAGGTAAGACTTTTTAAGATCTTAATTATTTCATATCGTATGCTTAATTAGAAAATACTGTAAATAAATAATCGATTTTCTAGAATATTATTTAAATCCAATAATTACGGGTTCCCAAACTCAATTTGTTGAATCACTTCTTCTGAAGAACATGTATTTTTTTGGGCAACCTAAAAATGACATAGCTGTATGTATATATATGTTTACAGTAATAATTTTTTGAAAAGCGACAAATTTGCAAATTTACACTCATTTTTAAAAAAAATTTGTAGAATTATGAATGGGTATTCGATAGACACATTAGACACTCTTTGGTTCAAGATGTTTTAAGTTTCTTTGGTAGACAAAAATATATTACAATACCTTACCTTGAATCACATATGGGTTAGAGTTAAATCTAATATAGCCAATTTGTTTAATTTTCTAAAATACTATGATAATTTATGTTATTTAATAATTAATAATGCAGCGACTGCTACGACCGCGAATTCAGATCTTCGTAAGAATAAAAGTTATGTTTTATTATTTTCTTTTTAACTTTCTAAATTCTTATTACTGTTAATAATTATAGGGACAAACAATACTTATTATGCTGTCTTACGATTTATTATGTCTCCTCCTTTTATTGTGACAGACGAAACTGAGGAAAGGTGAAAACCCCATATTGATCAGCTCGTTTTGTAAATACTTTATTAGCACCTATTGTATCACTTATTAATAATTTTACCATAATGACAATAATAGGAGCAAAACCGTAAGTAAACATATATGATACACTTTTATACAGAAAATTTCTTAGTAATTATCATTATTTTAAATAAATAGATTTTGAACATACTAGGCGTTATTGGTGGCATTTGGAGTGGTGTTGTAGCTCTTTATATATTTTTATTTGGTAAGTTGACTATTTAAATTAAATTATAGTTAAATAATTTACGTATATTTATTACTATTTTATTTTATTTATTTATTAAAACCAAAACTGCTAGGACCTGGTTTAATCTCGCCATGGGGTTTTGTACAAAAGTCGAGATTATTCAAAAATCAATACGAAAAAAACATTTTGCCATTTGTTTGTGAACCCGATACCACTGAAGGTTTTAATAACTCAATGCAGAAACGACTTAATAATTTAGAAAAAAGAGTAGAGTTCTATGATAAATTCATTATCGACAATTCATTGTTAACCTTTATTAAAAAAGATGAACAAAAGTATAATATGTAACTACCTTTTTCTGATTGTAAAAATGTCTAACTTATCGGTTAAAACTAATTTTCATTATTGGCGAAATTATTGACGAAACTACTTGAATTCTATATATAAAACTATATTAGTATAGCTATTTTGTGACAATTCATATAAACATGATAAGCTCAGTATTTGATGAAATCATAATAAAAATATTATTCTTTTCTTAATAAGTTTCAACGTGATATGTAGTAATTTAAAAATAGGTTGTATACTATATCGATATCAGATTAGAGGTCCAATCCGGATAGCGTTTATCCGAATAAAGTTCGGATCGGATA